CTTTCCCAGAGAAACGGAATGAATTATCAAAGAGTTTAGAGCTCTAATTTTCCCAGTGATACTGCAAAAGCTTCTTAACTCTAGGGAACTTAAAGTAGCAAAAATTACAGGGACAAAAGTAAGAACTGCTAAAAAAAACCCATATTTCCTCAATGTTAAATGCTTTCAATGAATGTTTCATTACCAGCTTCGCAATCACTTTATGAAAATGCTCTGGGATTTTCCTCTGTCTGATATGCAGGATTTCCCAGGTACAGTACAAGGCGGCAGCAAAGCCCCAAAACGGAAGAAGCCAGCAGCCAAACAAAAGTTACAAGGGATAGTGAAGACCACCAGACACTACCTTAAAGTCAATACATCAGGTAACTTGCTCAGTAAACCATTTTGTCTGTATTCACTCCAGCATATTAACATACTGAAAACTTGGTATCGCAGGTACAAAGAAAGGGAACAACAGAGCTCAAACAAACATGCAATTACTTAGGAAACATACTTTTACATAACATGTCTGTAATACGCACATAAAAGTAGGGGTTGTTTTTTTCCTTTTAGAAATGAAATGAAATACATACAGTGTAATGAGCAAAAAACTTCAGGCATTGCAAATAAATCCATAACAAAACTGACTAAAATATATCCAGTATGAAGACTAAACTGGTCAACCACAATTAAGAAGGTAATTAGTATTGGCTTAACTTTTAAGGTACTTCCAATGCTGTTTTAATACAAGAATGAGTACTGCGCCAAGAAAGGGAAAAAACCACCACCACACAACCCAAAATCAAAACAAAACCTCCCTGTCTTGTTATTTGATTAAATTTTGATGAACCTTAAACCTCAAATCCCTCTTTGATCAAGCTGATAAAGCTTAGTAGTTTCTGTCTGTTTGTTCATGCCCCACAAAAGTGAAAAATCCTCAAAAAAAGCCATATAACTCCAAAAAAGGCAGTTTTCTCTAAGTGTTTACTAACTTTCTCAAAAAGAAAATTCAGACTGATGTATGTATGAGTTAAACCTTGTTTTTTCAATGCATCATTAGCTGTCTGTTTTAACACTTATTTTATTACTTGTTTCCTGGACTTACCTTTATTTGCTGGTTTGTGAACAACTTGCTATCTAACATTCACACTACAGACATTACCATGTGTATTCCAAACATTACACTTCCTTTCTAGACGGACATTCTTATCCATACCTGTAGAAAACTGCAACGCAACTTAAGTGGACTTAGTTCAAGAGTAGGCCTTTAGAAATCCCTTTTCACACAGTATTAAGAGTCTATTTATCCTTAAAAAAATTTCAGCTCACAGAGGAAAGAAGTGTCGTGAAGAGTGGGTAACATAATTCGTACAAAGAATTAATAGGCCTTCATACATCACAGGTAAGCACAGCTCGCGTTTCCAGAACGGCAGATGAGTTTAGCTTTTTGTAAGATCATTGATATTTGAAACTGATTACGCTTCTGACTCTCAAGGGATTACGTACAGGGTATTTTTAAAAGTATATGTTTTCAAAACACTATTTGAAGACCCTGAAGTCAAAGCACTGGCACTCTCATGCAGCACAAGTTTTTTTAAAACTGTGGTATGTTAACTTAAAGGCAGTCTCTATGTCATACCTTACCTTATCAAAGGGAGGGTAATTAATAGGCTGCTTTGAATAGTCTTGAAATCTAACATGCAAAGCTGTTGCATTTTCAGTGTAAGGGTTAGTCTGGACGGTTCCCATTGGATTCAACATTTCTTCAAGTTCATCTGAAACATTAGACAGAACAATTAATATTAGCGGCCAGGCATGCACTAAAATTAAAAAATCTGAAAGGCAAAGACGCCGTGAGAAATCGCTTACTGTACACAACGGACAGAAACATGTTTTGCTGCACAGCACTTTTAGTACAATGTACTGCATAAACTACCCATGTGTCCCACATTCACAAATGTTGGATTATCACCCAAGGAGAAACTGATCTTCTCTTTCCAATATAAACATAACAGTCAAGGGAAGCTGAGATATCCCTACACTGAACCAAATTCCAGTAAGACCTGCAGCTTCTGTAAATCAGTACAACCACTGCCTCTATATCAAAGAGTATGAAAAAAAGGAGAGAGTTTTAAGCCAGATTTCTTTCAGTGCTACGGCCAAGCTGATACAGGGCTTCTCAAGATAGAAGGAAGAGTGACATGGAGATTTCAGACACCATTACTAATTAATCTAATGTCGGGGAAGGAAAACTTAGAATATCTTTTTAATTCACACTGATGCAAACATTGTCACATACAATATAACTTATCTATTCAGTTTAGGATTCACAGCCCAGGGAACCAAATGAAACAAACTGCATCTTAAAAACAGGTAACACAAGATATTAACATGTATCTATTTTTATGTGATTTTCCTTCCATAACAGATAAATTTTCAGAATACTATTTCCAAGCAGACTCTTGCCCTTCCTCCTTCCTGATACACAATACTTTCAGGAACGAGATTAAGATGTTACACATTTATCCACACAAAAAATACAAGTAGCAAAGAGATTATGCCAGGAGAATTGGACATGCATACAGTAAATATTCTACTATTCAATGCTACTCTTCTTTAGTATTATAAGTATTTAAAATCCAAATCTTCAAAGCTAAACTTTACCAGGAAATGATGACCAGCTGTGCAGTACCAGTTCTCCATTCTTCAATTGTCCTTTATAATCAAATACCATGGTATTTACCCAGGCTACAGGATAATGCTGTTAAAGGAAAGAATTTTTACATGGAAACTGAGATGTCAGTGAACATTCCTATGCAGCAAGCACTACAACATAAGTAAACCTGAGACAGCTGGGTTTTTTAAAAATGGTGATCTTCTTCAGAAAAGCAGTTCAACACATGCAGAGTTTTACTCCAGTACCACTGAGGACAGTAAAACTTAATTTGCCAATGTAAAAATAGAGATTTCTCCGAATGCGAGCCTAGATGCTAATTTTTGATCTTTTCCCAATCACAACTCATCTAGAGTATAGAATAACATTGACTTTTGAAAATACAATTCTTTACACAATCATTTGCCAACTGGCTTACAACCAAAATTTTCATGCCTTTTTTAGTGTCTGAGAAGTACGAAAAGTTTTTTTGCAATTCTTTATACATATGCTCTTTTGAATTTTTTTTTTCATTTTGAATTCTTGAACACTGAAGTGAGGACAATGACAGATTTCTGAATGCACATTTCAATATGATTCACAGGTACGCTCAAAAACCACAAATGAAATAATTACCACTTTTCCTGCTTTTCTAATAGTTTGGTATTTGGAAGGATTCATTGCCTTGGTTGACTTTTTAGTTTTCATCTTATCCATCACAGCATAAACTGCAAAGCAGAGCCTTGCCATTCTTGGTAGATCGCAGACATTTATTTCAAACTCTAGTACTTCATTCCAAACGTGGTCACTTCTCCCAGATATTTCTGTGCTTACAATAGTTTTACAAAGGAGCTCTGTACCATGGAAAAGACCAGCTCTAACATGAACCTGCAATAAAGAAATGAGGAATGTTAAGCTTGCCATGGAACCTACAGAATTCTGCATAGAATATTATACAGAACACACATATATGCATTTTATCAACATTTCTATCTTAAAAGAAATACTAATGTTGAGGATTTTAAATGAATCAATTCTTGAGAACAAATTATTTTTATTTTGCTATTCATGTTCCTGGTCAAATCAAAATATATATTTTTAAATAATGTTGGCTATCAATTTTTTCAGTACTAAATCACTTATGTTATCACATATGGCTAACAATAACAACTCATTTGTAGTAACAAATACAGTATTTGGATATACATATGCTTCTAATTTAACAAGCCTAACACAGAAAACAGGAGGAAACAAACACTAAGTAGAATGAAAAGCTAAGACTAATCTTCTGAATACAAATTCAAATCTCCAAGCAGAACCGATTTGTGCCTCTAATTGAGAAAAGTTTCGGGTTTTTTCAGCTTAAGAAAAAATTCATTTTTCACTTAATCTCTTTATAAAAATGTACAGAGGAAACACTGCTGACCCTGACATCAGAAATCACCTCTAATAATAATAACAATGTACATAATTCCCAGGAATTCTGTTTTGTCTTTAGCACCCAGAAACCATCAAAATCAGCTAGCCTGAATGATAAAAATAAAGAACAGGAAAGGATAAGGGCAAGAAAAGAAAGAAGCTGGAGTTATTGGCAGTAGAATTGAAGACACCACAGGTCAATGCTAAGATGTGGCTCATTTCTGTCTAATAACATGTACACAGAAAACTGCATGTTTCCCAGTATCCATCATCTTGGGATAGTTTCTACAAGAATTACAAGGAGGTCTTTATTTTTGTTGCCTGAGCAAACAAAAAAGAGAGAAATAGAAATATGTCAAATTCTTGAGAGAGAGGGAGAGAAAGAGGCAGAGAGGAAAAAACCACAAACGTAATCCTTTGGTCAACACCAAACAGAAGTTCTCAGTGTGAAAGTGAAATGAGTAAAAGGTGAACTGATGTTTCATAGTCCCTATGTGCCTCAAAAAACCTTTCCAATATTCCATTTAAGCTACATTCCTTAAGTTACACTCCTCCTTGATACAGGTGCCATAAGAACATCCATTATTAAACTGACTTGTTGGACTTAACACATATACAATCCCAATTTTATTTCCAAGCTTACAAACAATCACTGCAAGAAAGAGTTCGGTTTAGAAAACTACATTCACTTGAGTCCCAGAAATACTCACAACACCCACTATTACCTATTTTTGGCACGCACAGCTTCGCCACTGCGAGTCACTGAGTTAACAACAGCAACATGAACATCCATTAAACAGATCACACCAACGTAATCTTACTTCAGGAAATCTAAATGTACACAGAATACATGTGTGTATGCATACCTATAGGTAACAATATATGCATATGCACATATATGCAATCAAAATTCTCATTGATCACATTTACAGGAGTTTTTTCATTCTCTGTAATTAAACATTGCAGCCTTACATACTTCCAAAAGGAAATACTGTGGCTGATGTCAGAAAACTGATTAAAATCGGTTGGTTCATAACCTTCTTGAAACAATTCACCAGATGGTCCTTTATTAATTCATTTGGAGATTCACTGTATGTTCAAGTGAATTTATTATCAAGTTCCTTTGCTGATATAAGGATATCTTATGGAAACATGATTATATCTAGTTTCTGCTTTTGCTTTAACAGCAGCAGCAGTAAATATTCTAAAATCTGCCTGGTGGGTCTTTTTTAAACCTAGGGGGTTAAATTCACATTTGCATAATTTTGAATATTGGTCTTTGACTTGCTATCGTCTGATATTATAACTTTATATGCCACCACGCTTCCCTGACTTTTCTTTATTAATATCAAAAGCATAAGTGATCAAGTAAAATTTGATAGTAACAAAGCATTGTATTGTTGGAATACATTGCTATTTTGCTTGCCTTTCGACTAGTTCTAACAGGATTGGAAACCACAGAATTAATGTGAAGGATTGGATCCTAATTTTAGTATTTTCATTCGGCTACTCCCATCTTACTAATGAAACTGTATGTACCGATGGTGCAGCCAGAGAGCAAGACAAAAAGAAAAGCAATCTCAAACACCAGGTATTTGGAAAATTGGGTGTTAGACAGCTGAATGAAATCACTTGTGCTCTACGAGAAAACACTCAATCCAGATCACACAAGTGGAGTACTAGCTATCTGACAAATGTTTTGTCTGCCACTACAAACACTGCGTTTATGAACCCTGTTGGTGGTTTCAGCAAAAATGGATCAATATTGGCTTGGTCCAAAGCACAATGAAACTGAAAGAACAATGGCAGCGAATTAAACATCTTTTAGGATCAGGACTAGGAAACAAATACATTCTCAATAGTGACAATTCCATAACAGCGTAGACAGACAATGCAGAGAAACGTGCACAAGCTTGCAAGGTTACTACACGCATTCTTGTTCTTGGGTAACTACAGGACTTTGAAGTTTTCAAGACTAAAAAGCATTCGAAATACTAAATAACATTTACATAGTGTCCATAGGCACCAGCATCAAAGAATTGTCAATTTTACCTGTTTCTCCTCAAGCTTAAAATCAATGTATTTTCCTTTTCCTCTGAAAGCATACTGAAATTAACTAAAACTCACTTTTGCAAGTATGAAACACCACCAAAAAAATCAACACAATCTGATAGCTATGTTGCTTCTGGAATCCAACTTCTCTTTTCCAGTCCCTTTTCTTTTAAAAACTTAAAGAGTCTACAGAACGTAGCGTTAAGAAAATATTACAACTAGTTAAATAATAGTTTAGAGAAAGAAACGGGAAACATCTGTTTTTGCAGACATCCATGTCAGTGTCTCAGGTAGTAAAATTGTAACCATGGCTCATTTAGCTATGTAGCAAAGTGTAATTATTGCTAATATACAAAGAGGTTGTAACAATAGTTTTGGAAGAAAAAAAAAGCAGAGTATCCTGAATAAATCATCAGAATAGCAAACCTCAATGGTTAATTGAATTTCTTCCTAATTTATGTGACTGGCTATACAATTTATTGATTGACAAACAACACAAAGGAAATAAATGTTGTTCTACCTCACAGGCAAGTGTCTTGTAAGGCCTTAAAGAAGTTGTGCAATAAATTCCCATGTGTTAACACTTGTGGTCTGCAAAACAGTCAGTAGCCCAGTCATGTACATTTTTACAGCAAGTGATACTACAGCTTTTTGTGTGTTAGGCATGTTTAGAAAATAAAAGACAGATTGTATAAAAGCATGCAGTCCATGCTTAGACACACACAGAGTATATTCTGGACTACTACCTCATGTTCCATTGACAAATGTTTAATATTTAATCTACTTCTGTTTGTCAAATGTTTATGACAGTGTAGTTTGAATACGCTTACTTCACACCAGTATCAGTACTTTACAGACACTACCTTGGAAAAGAAAACCATCAAGTACCATATGAACATTGATGTCATACTGTCCATGATTATTGATAATATTCTGATGCACATATTCAACTTCAGACAATAAAGCAACAATACTACCAATATAACTGGGAATATCTAACAATGCTTACATCTTTGCTGAACTGGAATCTGTATGATTTGAAGTTTGCTTAGCACCGAAAATCATTAAAACAAACAGAATGTCTTCTGGTACTAGGCATAGTTACTTACTTTGGCAGTTTCTTCTGTATTTAGTTTATTACCCTTTAACAGAATAATCTTGAAAGGGTTGGAAATATCCCATACACTCTGAGAAGGAAAACAAAGATATAGGTTAATTCTTAATCAATGTAACGTATTGAGACCTATTTTATAAGCTAAGCATTTTAAGCAAAAGTCATCAATATTAACGAAAAAAGATGCACTTTTTTAAAATATAAATTTGAAATCTTAAAAAATAAACTTGTTATCAAGAGCATACAAGATGCTCTAAAGAGAAAAAAGTTAGAAAACACTCATTTGAAAGGGGGGGTGGGTGTGAGAACACACGTTGAGAACTACTTGCTGACAATTCAGAATAATCCTTCAAATTTACTGTTCATTCTGAATATATAGAGCGTGTAATAGAGCAAAGTCTGACCACATTTCTCAGACTGACAGTACGCACATTATAACTGGGCTGTAAAGCCCTAAGTTATAAGCAATAAAGGAAGCAGAATATGAAAAGAAAAGTTAGATGTATCTATTATGGCAAAAGTTGCCATCATTTTAGTGGCAACACCATGCAAGATACCTGGGCTAATACAACAGATCAGAGACCACTACCGCCCAAGCTAGTGGAGCCTTCACATTGTGTTGAAGCTTTGGAGAATCCAGGTTCTCTGCAATAATTTCTTCAGTTGCTGGTTACAGATTATTATCCACTCTTCCGGGTATTGATTAAAAGTAGAATCAATAGCAATGGAAAGGAGACCATAAGGGGAGAAGGAGGATGGGTGAAGCAAGGGAAGGTAAGTTTCCAAAAAGCCTCAAGGTCTGCTATTTCTGATACAAACCTTCTCACAAGCAATAGGAGGCTCCGAGTAGACCCAAGTGACCTACGCTGAAAACCAGCAGTAGTAGCACAAATCCTAGGCATTGTGATTTATATTCCACAAGTCACTGTTCCTTTTGAGTATCAGATACTATCCATATCAACTTACAGTTATTGTTCTTGTTTTTTTGGGTGGCAGAGGAAGAGGAAGGTTGGATGATTTGCGGTTTATGGCAGCTTCTATGGCAATCATCTCCTGCTCGCACATTTTCTTTATGGTGCAACACTCAACCAGAGTCAGCTGAGGAAGAGTCCTGTTCATCACACAGTTGCGTATATACTAAAAGCCCATGGAAAACAGTTGTTATCAGCTAGCAGATGATTTCTACGGCAACTTTCAAACAAAAGAAACAAACAACATTCTTCAAAGATACAAAGGAAACAGTGCACATGTATTTTACAATAGGAGAGGACTGCAAACAGGAGGAGGAAGCGTATTACTGTTCAGTATAGCTGACCATTCAGTGACATGGGAAGTAAGGTCAAATTTTGTCCAAGGCACCAGAAAACTGTTACAGTAAGTTCCAAAGAGCTTTTTATGTACCTGAAACTGAATTAATGGGTGATCACCAAAAACATACTCTAGCCTTCCGCTAACTTGTAGCACATAGTCAGCAGGATCAACTTCCTCATCTTCTCTTCCATGGATAGTCAAACGTTTTCGGATTGCCAGCTCATTCAGCTTGATGGGATTCATGTTAGGAGACACCTGAAAACTAAATACATCCTAACAAAACACAAACCGGAATACTGAACATCAAACTTGTCATAGTCAAACATACAAGGCTTAAATCGTAACGCACACAACAAAATAGGCAGAAATACTTATAACTGTTAAAAACCAGCCTATTTTAACACTTGCAGTTAATGTCTACATCCTCAGTGCACCAGAGCAATAGCCAGCTCTGCAAAATGGTCAATTCCCAAACTTCTAGTATCAGAAGTACCTTTAAGAACACAGAACTTCACCTAATTGATTCAGCAGTTATTTAAAGACTTCTAGATCAGGACGTTGATCTAGAAGCTTGTATTTTGGAATGTGAATGAGGGAGACAAGAAATCATGCATACATGCCAAGGTATTTAGCAGCACTAGATATGTTAATTTTTCTTCTTTCTGGCCACTAGCAAATTATCCTCTTTCTAGGTACCACTGTACTCAGAAGAAAATGAAAGCTCCAAGAAATAAAGCAGAAGAATTTGTTAACGTGATTTATGTACAAAAACACCCATCTTATTTGGAGGAGTCTAGAAAAGAGGGGTAGCAGTCAATACCTGTAGCATTCTGAACACAACATGGAAAGACTGCATTTTCAAAGAAAATTTTTAATCCAACCTTTAGAGGCTATCTACATGTTTCAAGAGGATCTCTAATTTTGATGCATTCTAAAAAGGTAAAGGTGAGACGTTAATTTCTTTTTTAGATTTTTTTTTTTTAAAAAAGGGTTAGATTCCTAATGTAAAAGGTCTTCTGTGAAATCTTTCATCTCCCTTAATCTACCACATTACGCTCTGCACACGCTTATTTGCAAAGGCTGATTCAGCGAGCTCTGATTTTTTTGTTTTGATTTTGTTTTTATTTACACACACATATTCCTGAAGATGTAAGCTTTCTAAAAGCAGTTATTAACAAATGTAAAGAGTTGTCTGGCTTACATTCTTTTGACTTGTGCTTTATTTATATGGAAGTTTACCAGTAGAAGTCAAGCTGCCCTAATGGAAAAATCTAACTCTGTAAAGTCAGGCAAAATTAATTCTGTATTTTCTCAGTTTCTGCATGGTTCACAACAGCTTCACCCTTTCAGAAAGCTGCCAAACAGTGAAGGCATTCTTCTTCTATCACAACTGGTAGTGGGTAGACAGGGAATGACACTTTTTCTTCCCAGGAAGCTGGTGCTCTATGACAGCTGCCTTACCTTCAAATTGTAGGTCTTCACACGTATGTCACAGAAACAGGGATCAGTCTCTTTCTCTTGCTCCAGAGATAATCAGGTAGCTTTTACAGCTCACCCACATATTCCAGGCAAAAAGTATTTCAATATTCCTTCCTCTCAATCTTGCAGCATTCCTACTGAAAGGACGCAACAGTCCCCATACCCTCCTATTTAATTCTCCTGAGATGATTCTGGCACTTGGTACAAGTAGTAAAGTCTGGAACAGGGTCTACTGCTCTAAAAAGCAGCTCAGATTGGAACTGTTATTAGCTTTGAAGGTCAGAATTGGCAGCAGAAGCATTCGAAACATTTGAAATGTCAGCAGCCTAAGCTATTACAGTGGCAGGCAAATACATTCTGCACTAGCATCAACTTTTGCACTGCTTTTGTCCTGTTGTCATATGCATATATGTGCACAATATTTTAATCAAAAGCTGACAAATACAGATATTCTCACTCCTGAAGAACTGTAAGATCTCTACGGTCAAAGAGGACTGTAAAAAGATTTTGTCATAAAAACACCTATGTATCCAAAATCAGCTAGTGTTACTGGTGACCAAATTTAGCATTCACCTCTGCATTTAGTGTTTCCAGAGTCAGTTATGACTTTATCATTTTGGATTTTTTTGTTGTTGTTGTTGTTAAAAAAGACAGAATTGGAAATAATACAGTTTTGTAAATAAAATCAGCTGAATCATTAGGCAATCAGTATCTAGTCCCTGGGTCAAAATGGACACCAAATACAGCCTGACATATTTACGCACTTGTGAGATTTTAAGGTTTCCAAAGCTGATCCCTCGCTGTTATCCAAAAGAACCCAGTGCAAAAATGAATAATGGGAATACTGGACTCAAGCAGAATCATAGCAACCTCAACATCAAAAAACCTGAAGCTAAATCATCTTAGGTGGAAATTAAAGGGGTTTTTATTTTTAAAATAAGCTATGGATTTGTTAGCTGAAACAAAAAGGTAACCTTAAGTCTCAGCTAGTATTTTATTTGTCTATATGTTTGTCCTGCATATGGAATACTAATTCCTCTTTTTTTCAAAATGTATTGCTCAACCTAATTAGCAGATGAACCCCAAACACATTCAACAATGAATCACACACAAAAAGAAGTCTGTTGAATATGGCACCTCCCAATTCCCCTGAACCTAAAATTGAACGCTAGTGAAGCAACAAAGTAATAGTTGGCCAAAAAGAGTCCTGACAACTTTAAATTATGTTTTACCTTTAAATTAAAGTGGAATAATATAGAATACATAAGTTGTACATTTTGACTTTAGAAGTAGAACCGTAATTTGCCTTTAGGAGTTCAGTTCACAACTGCAGGTTCGCATCCTCACTTGCTTTCAAGAGTCAAGGACCCTGGTGAAGGAATTTGCATTTTAAAGCAAACACCATAATGTTAGTATTCTATTTCATTTACATCCTTGATCAATCACATGCTAAATCAGATCCGGATCAAGAACAGTACATGAAACTTGATGAACAACCAGCCTACCTGGCAGTTATCAAAATGAACAGCCACTACAAGATTTCCACTATAGAGCTTATCTTGGAAGCTCTCTGGGATAACAGGTTCCTGTTCTGGTGGGTAAGTGTGCTTTAACCAGTCCATCCAGGAGAGGCCCACAAGTGACTGAATCTTTTCCTCACTGATTCTCCTCATTTTAGCTCGGAAGTCATTCACTTCAGGGTCTTGTAAGGCATCGAACTCATGGAGACCTGAAAGAATTCAAGCAAACAAAAGGATGCATACCTGTACAAATACCACCCATCTATTTACCATCCCACTCAAACTTCTATTATCTTTAAGTTAACGTTACATAAGTGGTTTTCTCCAGACATCCCATCCAAAATGGGTGCTCAAAAGTGAGTCGGGTTCTATGCTGTCCTGTACATCAGTGGACTTCCAAAGTTACAATTCCCATGCAACCTGGCATGAGAGTTTAGTTTAAACAGCAAGAACCAATGCCTCTCTTAGGTACTATTGAATGGAAAAGCCTGCCTCACCCTGAGTTCAAGATAGTTTGGAAAGTCTATCCTCACAAGAGCAAATGCAAAGAAAGCACAGCAAACGCATCATAAAGACCCCAGTGGGGAACAAGTGTTTGCAAACGATTTTTTTTTTTTCAATACCACAGAAATATGACATCACCTTTTAAATTTTAATCAAAAGTCAAAAAAGAAGGATAGTAGATTAATTAATTCTTGAATTTTCCTTATAACTAAAATCTTGTACTAAAGTCAAAATGACAGGACTGAAATTTCAACCAAACCAAGACCAGTAAATTTCCTTTTCCAAAATATGCAAAGAGAGAACACACAGTAGAGAGTCCACACAGCTGTGATTCTTAGGTACTTCAGGAAGTATAGGGCCTGCAAGTATTTGTTTCTTTCTTTTCTCCTGAACTTTGGAGGATAGTGTCCAAATTACACAAAGCAATGAAGAACTTTTGAGAACAAAACACTAAGTTTAGAAGCTTAGACAGGAACACATTTTTTCCACTAAGGTACAGAATAGAGGCTGCATAAGGAAGGATCTCGCGCAGCTATAAGTAAAATATTCAATCAAAGAATGTCAGTCTTTCAGAATCTGTCAGAATATGTCTGAATGGTTAAACTGGCTAACTGTTCCCATTGTCAGTTTTAACAAATAGGCAGACAGTGTACTGCTGAAATCTAAACAAAACCTGCAGTCTTTATAAAAGAGCTAACAATGGTTCATTGTTTTAAAACAAGAGCTATGACCTCACACGACCCTGTCAATTTTGATTGTATAACCAAGCAGAGTAGATTTAAAAGGTGAAAATTCTGAAATAACATCATGAACAAGTTACTGTGAAACTTTCAAAAATAGCTTTCCATTGTTCGCTGAAAATCAGTGTCACAACTGAGAGCAAAACCAAGAATCATTTGTTAACCAACTCAAAAATCATGTCTAACAAAACCATAATAATTTCTAGTTCCTTCTGTGCATCTAGTTTGCTATTAGGCTATTTATGAGAACTCTTCCAGGGATTATGCTCTCCTTCACTTAGTAATAGTATTATAGATTTTTCCCTCATCTAGTAAAATAAAATTTGCTCTTGATTGATGTCATAATACAATGCATCGCTGAAATGCAAGAGAAAGTAGCTTTCAACAACTTTCAAATGTTTCAGTTTGAGTACTTAAATTCTTTTACAATACATCAGTATTAGTCTGAGAAAGGAAAATTATATCGGGAAAATACTTAATTTTTAATTATTTTTAATTTTTTTTTTCCACACTGTTACCTGTCGAATTAAGACTCATACAAAACAAAGTCTGCCCTCATTAAAAAAAAAAAAAAAAATTAAATGTAATTACCTTTGCCTATAAGGACACCTATTTTGGAATCCAACTTTTCTCCTGGATCACAATTCCTTGTCACTAGTTTAAGGACAGGAAGAAAGGGTCTAACATCACAAAGTCTCCGTGTTTCATCCTCTAATTCTTCATGTACAGCAGTCTGATTCACGCATGAGAACATGTAAGAGTCAATCTCCAGGAGGAGATGAAAGAGTGGATAGGCATGTGCCTGCTTCCATAACAGCTGCAAAGAAAATAAATAAATAAATGAAGCGAAACTAGAAAGCATGGACATATATTATGGCACTGAAGGCAATGTGAATTTCCTTTTATGTTCCCAAAAGAACATAAGAGTAACATGTTTGCTAACTTAGTTCATTTTTATCTCTATATATCATTATATATTTACCTGGTCTTGTTTGTAGTCTCTATCTTGGGGTTATTTTTACGCAGCAAATTGTGTGTATAAATATCGCAGAGCTAAAAAGCACACAGGGACAAGTACTATGAAGTGATGAGAGAAGGGCAGCATTAACCCTCATCCTGACACTTGTCCTGGGATTGACCCACTACAGTCTGATCTGCAGTAAAGTTGCAGGACCACATCTGTCAGTACAGTTACAAAGCACTGATTTTGGAGGCAGATGTTCTTGACACCAACCAGCAAACTGTCACTATTCTCCTCTGTTCCTATAGGCTCCTATCAAAATCCTTCTCCCTCAAGACATATTTATACTTTCTTTTTCCAGTAATTACAGTACTACATAGACAAGAAGTTCCCACTATGGAACTAATTCGTGAATAAAATATTCCCTGTTGTCTGGAGAGGCTTAAAGTGAATTTATTTGTAAATTACTGGCAGGCCACTAAAGACACGCAAGTCGCTCACAGAACACTAAATAATGCTTTACTGAACTGAATACTTCAGTAGCACATTACACCTTAAGTAACACCAATGCATCAAATACATAAAATATATCAAAACCTTAGCAGAAATCAAAAATTTTGATTTTTCTGATCAAAAGTAAAAAGAGCTCTCCCAACCTAAATACTATTCAAACTTTTATCTGTGATAATATTTTTGTCCTAATTTTTAAAGTTTACATTTTATGGATTTGTTTCTGAAACTTACTTTGATGCAGGAACTGCAGGATCGATAATGCGATGGCAAAAAACACTTCTCAAACAACTGAAGCTGAACTGAACATAACTGCATATATATCATAATTTGTACAAGGACTTCTGCCTTCCAGAAGTTTTTCCAAAAATGTGTCTTTTGCCTAGCTGAGTGAGAGCTGAATCTGACAACTACCTTCGGTATAGAGCAAAATCTCCAACTTCCAAATGTATCAAAAGACTCAATCTACTACTGCCTCTGTGTTGTTCTCCAATACCTAATTACATTGATTACAAATCTATACCTTATTTTTTTCCTCCTGATTTGCCTAACTTCAATTTTTGAGCTACTGGTACTTAATATATCTCTTAATGACTTCAAAATTTAAAAAGCCATGAAGTCCCTGAAACTGACTTCCACTGACAGCAGCCATTTGCGATCACTCAAGCACTGGCCTGGTAGAAATACAAAGTCTACAGAAATGAAAAATTCTTCATCCTTCAAATAATTAGCTACTTTTCTTCTTTTCTCTTATTTTAATCTTAACAGTTTCACATACAAGATAAACTCCTTATATTTGCTCTCAAGTCCTCTGTTTATACATCCAAGGGTCCACAACTTAGGGCGTGTCACAGCAATGTGGTGGGAGTAAAGCTACTAATCCAGTATGCCCCGAAGTCTTTATTATTGGTTTGTTTTCACAGACAGTGATTTCCAGGAAAGATCTCTGTAGTTATGACCAACATTCCTTTTCTTTGAAAAACAGCTAAATATCAACAGTACCTGTTTATAGCATGTTAAGTTTCACTGTGTCACAACCATCAAGAAAATCAGACAGCTTAGTTCAAGTCCCTTATTGTTGTCACTTACACACTTGTTTTTTAAATGTTTTATCAGTTGAAATCACTATCAGCTATTCAATTATCCTACCCTGTAGTTGCCAGCTTACCCTTTTACTAAAACAATGACATTTTTCTACTCAGAATTATTTCAAGTATTTTAGTATAGCACAAAACTTAATTCTCAGATCACTTCAATTTCTAGTGGCGCTCTTGTTTCTTCTACAATATTAAGTGGTTCGCTCCATTAGAAAAAAATCCAGACGTGTCTAGAAAGCTTCAGATTAGGAGTACAGAGATTGTATGAAGCTACTACTGATACTAAGAAAATAATTCCTATAAACAAGTGAATACTGTCAGGAATGGACTGAACAGGAATGAAAAACAATGTACGTACTTAACAGGCAATGCAATGGAATGAGATATCACACTACTTTATTTTATTTTAGAAAGTTATTATGCTTAAGGAGCATATTACTTGGTGCTGTAATTCACCCACTACCTAATTCCACAGTAACTTGTCTGAATGCCCTCCCATGCCATTATCTTATGAAAGGTCAGTAGATTATTTTTTTAAGATCTGAGGTCATTTCCTTCCATGCTCCTCTTCCTTTGATTTGAGGAGTATTCCCTCCCTTTTTAAGTGATGCCCTAACAAGGCACTTGTGCACAACCTTTAAGAAATGGCATATATAGTTTTTTAAAGCATCTTTGGTGTCAATCAAGAGAAGCAGGAGCACAATCTCTGACTTCTATATTAAAAATCAAATTAGACACAGCATCTCCTGTTTGCACACTGATCAGAGAAATGTTAAATCCATGTACCAGATGCAGCAATACAGTATTAATATAGAGCTACGAGAATAGTCTCTGCTGAAGGGTAACCATTAGCAAGAAGTAATCTCTTTGAACCTTGACATCTGCCCAAAAACATTCTAAACCCTGAGACACGCATACATCTTGATTAATCAACCTGCTACGCACGTACCTTCAATTCCTTATTGTTTATGCCTACTAAAATTCATTACTTGGTTTGCCAAAAGGCATATAAAAATCAGAAACAGCACTCATTCCAAATAAAAGTTAACTTTAAAGTTAATTGACCATTTGGTATTACCTGTTTAATATGGGATATGGTGGCATCTCGAGGGACATCCAGATTGATGTAGATTCCAGTGGGCAAGAGGAAATCCACAGATATTGAGCCATCAGTACCAATCTGTGAATCCACTGCCCAGATGTCAAGGCTGTCTGTCACGGCAGGAGGCATTATGGAATCTCAATAATATCATAACCACATGGCCTTAGGGGGAGAAAAAAAATAAAATTCAGTATACTTAACCTTCTATAATTAGATACACATTTTAAAGCCTTTGGAAAGTTTACATAAGCCTGCTTGTACAGCTCAGCTTGCAAGTCTGGGGTCTCAAATGCCAGTATTGCAAACACATAAGCATAGTTTTACTCATTAATTCCACTTAGTATAATAAAAGCACTTGTCTGGTAAAGCACTATTATTGAGTTGTTTATATAATTAAGACAAAGTAATAAGAGAAAAAAATAACTAATTAGAGGTTAGCTAAAACAAAGTTAGAAATTAATTTTAGAATTTCTCTAAAACTATTTATCTGCATAAAATACAATCAAAGCAAACTTCATGAATGAAGCATGGCACTGTTTAATACAAAAACACATGATAAATTTCCTAATTTTGTTCTTGCACATTTTCTATTAGCTGTCCACAAATCTGGCCAGAGTGACATATTAAACTTGAAAGTCTGTATTAATAGCAGGAAAATAATCTTCACCTCTGTTAGAAAGTGACATTTTCTTCTAAAGAAATTTACCTCAATTTGCTTTCACTCTTAGAGAAAGATCATCTTCTATGAATTCAACCCACCGTGTAAACTACATCCACTGCAGGGTGGAAGGAAACCCTTTGTGAGATGTACTGCAGCTCGCTACACTGGTTTCCTCATTACTTGTCCTTCACATTTTTATTTACTCTTAATGCTACCACTAGTTTCTCTGATCTTCCAAGTCTTAACTTTTGATTACTACTCTCTAGTTTCCCTTCAGTCACTACTCACTGAAGTATTTACCTTCCTCTTCATACAGACAATGCTCTTCAGTTGACAAAGGGATGGGAAGTGTTGCAAAACACTATTGTCTTCATTGGAGAAGTGCTTTATAAGTTATCCCTACGCCTTTCTAATTCTTGGTTGGACATCTCGAGCTGTGGGAAATCACCATTTGTCAAAAAAAAAAAAAAAAGCCAGAATGTGCAACTCCTCTACTATTAGAGCTTTCCACTACTTTTATCACTCCTTCCCTTCTCATCTAGATCCCTTTCCTGCTCTGAAATCAGGACTGTTCTGCTTAACTGAAGGTATTTCCCCTATTACAGCACCAGCACAAAAGGCAGGATGTAACCAATACACGGGGCTGCTCTTCTTTATACATCACAGAGCAGGTTCAAACAAGCACATCAGCAAATGAAAAAAAAAAAAAATAAAATAAGTGCAATAGCCTTCTGAAATCCAGTCGCTACTAACAACTACGTTGCTGAAAAGTCTGTTTTGACACACAAAATCTTCTGGTTTGTTAAGACACTAGGCACAATCCATTACCAAAAGGTAATCCTTTCTACAGATGCTAAACATACAAAAGGATGCCTAGATACAGAAGAAAATTGCTTCAATTGGTCGTGCCATTGAATTACAGATTATTGTCATGCTGTGCAAACTTTCCAAACGTATAAGCATTTATGAATACAGCTTTTCAATTCCAAAGCATTTTATTACTATTTTTCCCCAAAACAAGCAAACAGGAATCTTTTTGTAACATATTATAGTTGAACCTGCCTCAAAACTCCAGGAGACCAACTACATCATAACAAAGGTGTTTTGTTTCCCTCCCTTTCCAGTTTATCTTTTTTTTTTTTATAAAACAGCTCAGTTTGGGAGAAGTCACTCCACCAGCTACTAAATCCAAACTTTACAATATGCAGGAGTTACCACTTCATTTATAGCTAGTTCAATTTGTTTGATATTTCTATTTCACAGAAAGTCACCTCTTTAAAATCATTACGCTTTTAAATCAAACAATTCATTGTCATATGCATCACCGTCCTTCACTGGCAACAGAAATGCAGAAGTGGTACTTCAGAAAGTCTCGCTTGCTACAGACAGCTTGCAATGAAATAAATAAATAAGCAAGCACAGAGGAAAGCTGAACGTGCCTACAATGGAGAACAGAATATGCCAGCAGCACAAAAATCAACTACTACAGAAGCGTAACTTTTTATTGACAAACAAGCTATTAATATTTTGTACATATTACAAAGGCCTGCTCAGTGCTGACTTTTACTGCTCATCATTGTTAAATGAATAGTACCATTTAATTCACCGCTTTAAAATATTCACAGTCCCTCTCTGCCTCATTCCTCAGTACTGGTTTCTACCCCACCAGTTACCATAAATACATACAATTGCTCATCTAACATTGGGAAAAATGCAGGAGATAAAAATCTGCAGCAGAGAAAGAGAGTTGGCTAAGAAGAGCCAAAATCTCCTAAAGCGTAACTGTGACCAGTGGAATATCAAGTCCTAAATCCCCACAGAGCCCAGCTCAATACTCAAAGCAGCCATTTGGTACCGCAGCCGTGCTACTATCAGCTTGTTAGTTCACAGCTGCCTTAGACACGAGACAACCTCTAACTGCCATGTAAATACACTGAACAATGAGACCCAAGTCATTTCAAAACCTTTCCATTCAGCCTGAGCAAGTTGTGAGGACCCACATAAGCATGACTGCTGCCAACACATCTTGCTACCACACTAAATATGTGGATCACTTAGTATTTTATTTGTACTAGATAAAAATATAGTAGCAAAAAATCTCTAACTTTCAGAAAGCATAAATACAAAAGGAAAAATATTTTTCCTCAATAGAAGCCACAATCAGGGAGCTCCTATTATCATCATTATCAAATAATGCTTTATCTCCATCAGGTCCTCATTCCTCAAAAAAATGCACTATACTCACCAGATTGAATCAAAACAAAAAGGTGAGGGTGTAGACCTGGTGACAATAACAAACCAGGTATGAAAACATTTTATCTTAATTACCAGATATTTACAAATTCATCCCTTCACTCAATGGGTGTGGAAAGTTTAACAGAGTGTGATCTCTTAAATTGTCTACAGGAAAAAAAGGAAATTTAACCCCATCATGCAACAGAGACTACGCTATTAGAATAATACACCATCTACCCAAAAAATCTAGCAAAACATGTAGTTCCTCATTACCAATCAATGCATCTTTAACAAGGTACTTTTTAAACGGAATATTATTTATTTTCCTTCATCCAGCTACTTCTACCCATAAAATCTTGGCTGTAATTTTGTTGTAACTGACAATAGTAGTCACAGAAAAATCATGTGAATTATCTAAAACTAAAGATTTCTCATACTTGGACGCACACACAGTGTCTTTTCAGTTATTTTTTGTGGTCATCATAATAAAATAAAGTGGTATCATCATTATAAAGCACTACTTTAACAGGTACAGCAGCAAAGAAAACATTAATCTGTTCTATGTAGTTATTTTGTTCATAATTTCTGGTTTAGTTCAGCATAAGATCTTTTCTATTTTCATCCTCTTTCAGATGTTTTTCCACAACGCATGCAATTTTTGAAAGCACTTAAGTGCATCAACAAGAGTTTAAAATGTTCAAAGAAGCAAAGGCTTAAAAATGCTGTCACATACCCTGTAACCTAGACAGCACAACGCACAGAGTTGTAAAGTTCTTGTAAGACACTTGTTTATAATGACCAACTTCCAACACAGACATCAGAATCTTTTACAATTCCATTTCCGTTTTCAAGCAAAAAGGGAAGAGCAATCATCACACCAATCTCAGCATGCTGGGAAGCTATTCTTGCTTTTAGTCACTTACTTACTATTTCCTTCCTCCTCAAGGAAATAAGTTAGTGTCTTTACAGTCAGCACCCAGTTTCCACCAGTAGCTGACATCACAGGGGTCAGTTATTTATACTGCGAATAACATCAGTTGCCAACATAAGATGGCTGTGAGAATGAGTCATGGGCCAAACTGTAGAATGTGTGGCAGCACTAGTGACTAACAACATCACATCTAGTAACTGAAACAAAGGCAGAAAGCCATCCGGATTGGCAGCAATAACACCAGAGACATTTTAAGCAACTTCCAGCTAAAGGAAAAAAATAACAATCAAAATAATAATAAAAAGCTATTTCAGGCTGTTAACCTCATAGCTATTCTTGCCTACTGTCACAGTAAAAACAACTTCTCACACAAAAGAAGGCAGTAATTAAAAAAGCAGTTCATCTTGACTACTCAAGTATCTAATCAATGATTATCTGAATTTATTTGCAGCAAAGTCCCATGCTAAATGCTCTTCTAAGTCACAAGCAGGCAGTATTGACAGACATCATTCAAACCTTCCTGTGTAAATTTTCTCTATACTCTTGACTTACACATTACAGATTCGTATATGTGTATATATATACATACACTCTTAGTCACAAAACTGTCCAATTTGTATTTAATTACACCAGAAGTTTTTAAAGAACTGCTTTGACTAATAGAAAGAAATGAAACAGATTAGTAGAACATCTGCAGAACAAGAAAAAGAGAAAGAAAATTTAACACTCATCTTTGTATTTACTTATTTAACATACACAAACAAGAAGCCCTACAACAAGATTTCTCAAACTAAGACAATGGCCTGCGATTCTTCTGTCTATGAATCTGCACATCTGATACAGATGTGCACCAAGCATTAAGACTGGAGTGGAACAACTATCACAACAAGCTGTCAACATCTAGGTTATAACTGTCCACACTGTGCCATAATATGGTTTTCATAACGAACTCCAAGTGAAGCTGTGTGATAAACGCCAGGCTCATCAACAGCTAGAGGGGAATGCCTGCATCCTCCCTTCTGCTCCCCCTCTTCTGAGATGCCCAGTTCTGTTCCCCTGCCTTGCACCTGCTTCAGCACTAGTCACATCTCCTTACAAACCATTTCAGCTTATCATCCAGGTAGAATCAATGAGTAATTTTCTTTCACATTATCTGGTTGAATCAACTCACAGAAGGATACGAAGACTGCCAGAGCCTCTGAAAGGAGAAGAATGAAAGCAGGATCTTCTCTTTTCATCACCGGCAAGCCTCCATATTGTGTCACAGCACTTCAGGTAACTACAGCCTCAATATGCAGTTTT